GCAGTCTAGCCAACAAGAATTACATTTCTGTGCCACACTGAAACAAGTACTGATCAAGCTGACCTACAAGCTATCCTCATGCCCAGCCTTACAAGAGCCTGAAGACTCAATCTCCCAGGTGTAGAAGTTGGGCCTCAGAGCATTCATCAGTGCTCATCTGGAGGGCCTCAGAGTCTATCACTAAGCCATATGTAAAAAGCAGCCATTTGAAAATACATACATACATACATACATACATACATAAAACAGCCATGTGAGAATAAATCTTATACTTCATTTTAAGAACAGCACAGCTATATAAATCCCTGGGAGGATAAGCACACAAAAACTATTTACAAGCCCATTTTAACTAACAAAATGCAAGACACCCAACAAGAACTCAAATCCTTCTTGTGTAAAATACAAAAGAACAGTGGCCCCCAGTTTATCACAGAATGTAAACACTGAGTCAGAGCAGAACAGAGTTTTAGGCAACATCTAGAGTCACATATTTATAGTGAATGACAAAAGGAAATAACAATTAGAAAAATTGGCAGCCTAAAAACGAAAACAAGACCCAGGGCCATTACTTTTCACTTAATAAGCATATTATCACTTGTTTATCTGTGATGTTGGAAGCCTTGGGCTCTACCCCAAATTGGGGAGGAGAAGTGTAAAAAAAGAAACAACCAAACACAGAAATTCATTCTGGGCTAAGAGAGAACTGCTTCCTCAAGAACCCAAAAGCAGCAAAAAGATCATGCAGTAAAATCCCATGCTGAAGAAGTATAGTAAGACAAGGGAACTGAAGCTGTGCTGCAATCCCGAAAGCACGTGGTTTGAATCCACCAGATGCTCTGGTGGAGAGGGAGGGGCAATCTCCTCTTGTGCCAGTTGGTTTCAATTTGATGGTACATAAGAAGAGGGGGAAAGTCCAGTAAGATAAAAAGGCACAGGCATACCATCCCAAATTTGAAGACAGTCCCCAACAACTCAAGACATTTCAGAAAAGACCATATATAAGCACATTCATTCCTCTTTACCTGTTAGCAATGAAGCAGCTCATCTGTTCTGGGAATAAGCACAATGTGTCAAATGCTGTAGTCAAGAGACTTGTATTCGACAACAGGCCAGAAATAAGACGTACACTGCAAAGAGGACTGGGGTAGGGGAAGGGAGGTAAGTGTCCAACAGTGAAGAATATTTTTAAAAAGTGAACTAGGGGAGGAGGAAGAGGGAAAGGGGTAAAATGAGCAACAAAGAATGAATAAAACTCTAACTTTTCTATAAACTTTCTTTAAAATCATAATTAAAATAAAAAGCTTTATTAAAAAAAGAAACTTGCATTCACAGTTCACCACAGAAAGGTATTTGCTTTACATTCACTGGTGCTCTGACGTAGTTTCCTTTGTGGCCAATGGGACTAACAGCCTCTAGACCCTTAAGAGTTTTAAAGCAAGCAAAAGGTAGGCATAAAACAATGCTGATAGCTGCCAAGAACCATGCTGGTAAAAGGCACATGTGGTAACTTAAAAGTACTACAATAAAAATTCCCCACTGCATTAGCCACAATAACTACTCTTTTTACAAGTCACAGCGACCCAGTGAACAACAGATCTGAACTGAGTCCATCAGCATCTGATTATTAAAAAAAAAAAAAAAAGGTAAAGAGGAGGACTCGAAGTACACGGCTACACTCACATTCCAGCAATCATGAAGACTCAAGGTGTTTAAGGGGCTACAAAAGTGAAGACAAGTGGCCCAAACAAGCCCAGTGAAGCATCCGAGCTGGACCTGCTGGCACGCAGGTGGCAGGACACAGAAAACAATAAGACAAGCAGCATGCTGCGTGTGAGCTTGCTGCCAGCAGATGATTTTGGACTATAGGTTAAGGCTCAGCCTGATGTTATTACACACTGTTGATTCCCTACACTTAGTGGAATGGAAGGCCATGCCATGCCAGCAGCTATCCTGCTCTTTCACCGTCTTATTTCAGATTGAGTTTGCTGTGGTACTGAAAATGATGAGTGAGTCTCCTCGGTCCTGTACTGCAGCCACAAACTACGTGAGGCTAATGAGCACTGGTAATGTGACAAGGGGCTGAGTTTCTTCGTTTTATTTCTGCTTAATTTAATGGCATGTGGCTAGTGACTATCAAATTAGCAGTTAAAAAAGTAAAGAAAGAAGCTGTGCACTGCTCTAAATGGGACCTTAATTAACACATAGCAGATTCTGGTAATGCTTGTGAGAATCTGGATCAAAGAGGGTCTTTACATACAAGGCACGCTGCAGAGTCTGCACAAAGTTTGCTAAAAAAGGCTTTTCCAGCATAAAGCAGAAAGGAAGTGTGGCAACTTGGAAAAGTGGTCTTATAGTACAGATTGAGATCTGACTCTTTGAAAACTTGGCATAGAATGTCATTTAAGATAGCCAATGACAGCTTCCTTCAGTCATAAGACCCAGTAACACCAAAGCCTCATCAGCCATGGGGTCCCTCCCAAGGGTCTTCTATTAACTGTGCAGAAAAGCAGGTTTACCCCAGAAGTCAGCTTGCTGGTCCAGCACTGGGTTAAATCTCCTTCCATTACTCAGCATAGAAAACCAAGCTTAGGCACTGGACTCATCCAAGTAGAACCTGACAGCAAAGGGGGAATAAAGACGGCCCCAGCTATACCTGTTACCTGGAAGGATAACAGTGGTGCCACTCAGATCACAAAATCAGAAGCCTTGTTCCCAGATGACATACAGTACCAACGTGTGTGAGCAAAGCCTTCAGTTACAGGCCAAAGGTTGTAACCAGAACACCCACAGAGACCTGGCAATCAAGTACCAACTGGAAAGCTCTATCCAGCTTGTCAGTGAAAGTTCTATGTGAAATTTCTCAATTGACAAGTGTTGACAATCCATTCAATATTTTAAAAACTGAAGGTCAGCATAGGAAAAAGAAATGACTGGGTGGTGCATGGTTTTCCACTAATAACGCCCAAGAATTAGAAGAGGGAAGTATAGATGTTGATGTCAGTTAGACATAATTAATCACCTCACAGGATTTCTTCTCCTGATTTGAAGGCTGAAGGCCAGAGTCTCATGGAACAATTCAAACAACTGGCATAACAATGTTCCTGACGTTTACGGTTACATTCTACCTCCCAATGTAGTGAGTAGTGCCTGAGGTCTTAAAAGGGAGCTCTGGTGGCCTAGTGGAAAGGAACTGTACTACCAATTTAAAGGCACTGTGGTTTGAATCCAGCAGCTGCTCCATGAGAGAAGATGGGCAGTCTCCTCCCTTGGGACTAACTGCCTCTGAAAACCCACTGGAGAGTTGGCTAGGAGATGGTTCAGACTTGACTTCACAGACTCTGTACTATTAGGGAGCTCCAGAGGCTTTAGTGGGTAGGGAGTTGCAGTGCCAACTCAAAGGTGGTCTGAATCTACCAACTGCCCTCAGGAGAAAGAAGGGCAATCTCCTCGTGAGTGATTTACAGCCTCTAAAAACCCGCTGGAGAGTCAGCTATGAGTCAGTTCCAACTCCACAGCAAGATACAGCTGGCCAAAGAAGGAAAGTAGAAGGAACTGGACTACAGGACTGTCTACCTGAGCCACTCCCTCCTCCACCTTGAAACCACAAGATGGTGCCCAGCTAACACCACTGAGAGTTCTGACAAGGAACACAAAGTGGGGAAGGTGGAACAAAGCCTCAAACCTATGGAATTCTGCGTAATTCTGGACCTACTGAAGCTGAAGGAGCCCCACTGACCCTGAGCTTCACTTCAAACCTTCAACTGAAAAAACTATCTCCACAAGTTACCTTTTAATTTAACAGTTTTACCCAAAAATAAAGATTGTTACCCTGGAGTATATCTTAAAAAAAAAATAATAATAATAAAATTCTATAAAACCAAAGGTTCAAAAGCTACTTTACAGTATAAATGGAAAAACTGGGAAACAGAGAGATTAAGAAACAGAAATGAACCAGTAAGAGAAAAATTAAACCGATGAATGTAACTTACATTACTGATCATTTTGGTTAGTAAATACGGAATGGAAGCCAAGTTGCTACGTGTATGTTCACTAAAAATAAAATAACAATAACGAAAGTCAACAGTTACGGTCTGTATTCAGTCTACAGGTTGCTGGTTTACACAGACACACACTGAGACATACACATTTCCAAATATGTTCTTAATTAATTTGCAAGCGCTTTCCCTCTACATGTCTGGTATATCCCCATTTTAAGATTTCGTTTTCTTTTTTGTGAAAATACACACATATCCTCTCCCAAAGGTTAGTTGCAGCACTTGAAACTGCTCTCCAGAAATCTCATTTTCGAGAAAGTAGTTACCCAAGTCTATGTCCATCTTTGAAGAAGCAAGCTCCCCCCTCCCCCCTCATATACCATTTCATCTTAAAGGACTTCCACTGAATGGGCCTTGCAAAGAATTCTCACAAGGGCCAAGAATCGCATCCTTTGATTAAGAAGCTGGTTTTTTTGCGCCAAGAAGACACATCTGGAGGACTAACACTACTTCCCGCCCCCATAAACGTGGCCGCTTCTATCACCACTTCCCCTGCTCCCACCAACTCCCAAGATCAGAAACTCGTCCCAGGTGCCATTCTCCGCCACACCGAGTGTCGCGGTCTTCCAAGCAAGACTGGCGTTTAGGTGCCGCTCGCTCCACGGTCAGTCAACTCGGCCGCCAGGGCCTGGCACACGGCGCGGCCAGGCCTCGGCCCTGCTGACCCATGTGGCTGCAGCCCATTTCTCCCCACCTCCCCGAGGCCTCTGACTTTCCTGTCCCAGAGAATCTGCTTTGGCCTGGCCCGAGCAGGCGCCGGTTCCCACTCGAATACCAGACCTTCCCAAACTGGATCCTCGTGTGCCTGGCAGGGGACGAGGAGGGCAGGCAGGAAGATGGAGCCTGGGAGCGGCGCCGGTGAGCGCTGCAGCTGCAAAAAGCCCCAGCTGACTCACTAGCTTTTGAGCCGCTTGCCCCGGAGGAGCAACAAGCCCCAAGCCTCACCTCTCTCGAGCGGTGCCGCCACTGCTGGCCGGGCCAAGACACCTCCTTCCCCAAGCGGCCATCTTGGAGACACTCTCCTAGCAAACGCCTGGCGCCAAGGAGGCCCGGGGAGTGAGCGGACTGATGGGAACTGTAGTCCGCCTGCAGTCTGTCAGCCACCTACACTCTGCAAGCAGCGCTATGCTGGACTACAATGCCCATCCGTGCATTGCGGCCGGAAGCCCTGCCTCCTGGGAGTCGTAGTCCGCGTAGGGCCAAGCACGCGCAGAGTCAACTTTCTGGGCTCTTTTAGCGAAGGAGTCAAAGTGCCTCACCGGACAAAAGTAATGAAGTCAGTTTCTGTGAAGATTTACAGACTTAAAAATTCTTTGGGGACAGCGTCTCCGTCTTATGAGTTTGCTAAGGAGTTTTTGTAGCATGGTGCTTTAGGTTTTGTGTTACTAATAAAAAGATCAGCTGTTCAAATCCTCTAGCTGCCCCTTAGGAAACCGCATAACCTGATAATCCCGATGGAGGTGAGTCAGAAACCTACTTAACAGCAGTGGGTTTTAGTTGTGGGGTCATGGAGTCGGGAATTCCACAGGTTTGGTATGGACCTATCAGTTAACCCCTCCCCGACCCCAGGTTCGCAGCGTGGAGTCCCAGTCCCCCGCCCTTCCGTCCTTGGTTCTCTGTTCTCAAGTAGATTAAGGGGAGCGGAAAGGAAAGTGCCTACAGCTCCCACCGGGCTGTGCGGGCGCCAGGCCCGCGCGCCACGTTGCGCTTCCCTGCAGCGACCCCTCCGGTGGGGCCACTGGGCCCAAGCCCTCGGAGCGGCTCTGCCTGCCCTTCACGGCCGCAACGAGGTCATCATGTCGGGCGCAGCCCGGCAACCGGGAGCCACCGTGCTTTTGCGTCCTCTGGGCTCCCGGGACACCTTGGAGACCTGGAGGGGCCCTACTGCCGTGGAGCTGGCAGGCGCTCATAGAGAGTCTGAAGCACGGAAGGGAAAAGACTGAAAATCACGATTGCTGCGGTAGAAATAAATTCTGCCATCAGGAAAAGCATACTCTTAGATCAGAACCACTGGGTCCCTTTACGCTCTACGACTTCTCACAGGCTTCAGCGCTCTGCGGCTTGGCGAATGTAATCTCGTATTTCATTGTGTTCTTAAAACTTAAACCGGGGAAGGCCTCCGACCCGAGTGGAACTCTGCCCCAGGGCCTGGCATCTCCTTTCCTCAGCACTGCTGGGAAGAGTTGGGGTCAGGATGGGCTATTCCTAAATGCTACTTAACAGACCGATAGGTATTTGTGGTGTGGGGCTTAACTTCTAGGTCTTGAAAAAGCTATTGTGGGTTGGGGGTACTAGTATCCGACCTAGAGGAAAGACTTCATATTAAAAGCACAATGACTGTATTCCTAGAAAGTCTGGCGTGCTCTGCCACTTTTTTTTTTTTAAACAGTTCTAGCATCAAAAGGAACGTTCTGGGTGGCCTAGTGGTAAGAAGCTGTGCTGCCAACCCAAAGGCACTTGGTTCTGCTCTGCTGGAAAAAGAGGGGCAGTCTCCTCCTGTGCACTTTATTCCCTCTGAAAACTATGAATTGCTTCCTACACCATGGTACACAGCAAGGAGGGCATCAGAGTCCCCGCCCCTGCCCTATGGTTCTGATACTGGGTTTGATGGTTCTCTGCAGTTAGCCACACAGAACTCAGAAAATACTCAGGAGCTGTGCTGCAACCCAAAGATTCGAAACCACCAGCTGCTCCGTGGAAGAAGGATGGGCTATCTCCTGTGAGATTAACTGCTTCTGAAAACCCACCAGAGGGGTCTACTATGTATGGGTTGGTAAACAACAACAACAAATAAAGTATACTTAAATACATTGTAATTCAGATTAGAACTAAGATACAGATAGCGATTCAGCTGTGCACAAGAGACCTTTCAGCCTTGCATCAAAGCTCAGTTCTGCCAGTTACATGCCACCCTCTGCCAGTAATTTTCTGCCTGAAGCCCCTTGGCTCTTATCTCCATGGTAGGTAGGCTTAGCTCAGTCCCATCTCAGCCTCACTACAGCTCCCCAGAAACCCATGTCCCCCTCTCTAGTTTGAGCAGAGATCTCAGGTCCAAATGATGCACTGCACTCATTGATTCTGTCTTGATGTTAGTGAGCTCCTTGTTTTCTGCTTCTTAGCCTGCTTGACTTAAGCCTAGTTGTTGTTGTGTTATGTGCCATCGAGTGGTTTGTGAGTCATAGCGACCATATGTACAACAGCCGTAAACCCTGCTCTATCCTGTGCCAATCACACTGCCTCCGAGACACCCATCCCCATTACCCCAGTCACTGAATCAATCCACCTCATAGAGGGTCTTACCCTCCTGCACCGTCCCTCCACCCTACCAGGCATGATGTCCCTCTCCAAGGACCTGTCCCACCTTACACCATGTCCAAAGTATGTCAGACGAAGCCTCAGAATCCTTGCCTCCAAGGAGCAGCCTGCTTTAACCCTCTCCAGGATGAATCTGTTCATTTCCTTGGCAGTCCACGGTACATTCAATACTCTTCTCCAGCACCACAGCTCAAAGGCATCAATTCTTCTATCCTCCCTAGTCATTGTCCAACTCTCTGATGTATAACAAGTGATTGCAAAGACCATGGCCTGTGTCAGGCGCACCTTAGTCTCCAGAGAGACTCCACTGCTCTTGAGTATTTTAGAGAGGTCCCTAACAGCAGACTTTCCCATCGCAATATGTTTTTTTATTTCTTGGCTGCTGGTGCCAGGAGTGTTGACAGTGGAGCCGAGCAAACTGAAGCTGTGAACAATCTCAATCTCTTCATCTATTCTGATGCTACCAGTTTGTCCAGTGGTGAGAAACCACTTTGTCCTCTTGATATTGAGCCTCAGTCCATACTGAAGGCTGCAGTCCTTGACCCTCTGCAGCAAGTGCATCAGGTCCTCCTCAATTTCAGCAAGCAGGGTTGTGTCCATCTGCATAACGCAGATTGTTAATAGATCTTCCACCAATCCTGACGCCACACTTCTCACAGAGCCCAGCCTCTCAGATAATCTGCTCTGCATACAGGTTGAAAAGTATGGAGATAGGACACATCCCTGGCATACACCCTTCCCAATTTTGAACCATGCAGTGTTACCCTGCTCTGTTCTGACTACTGCCTCTTGGTCCAAGTATAGGTTTCGCATTAGCACAATTAAATGTTCTGGGATTCCCATTCTTCTCAGAGTCAGCCACAGTTTGTTATGATCCACACAGTCAAATGCCTTTGCATAATCAATGAAACACAGATAGACATTCTTCTGGTATTCTCTGCTTTCAGCCAAGATCCATCTAACATCAGCAACGATATCCCTAGTACCACGACCCCTTCTAAACCCAGCCTGGACTTCTGGCAGTTCTCTGCTGATGTGCTGTTCCAGTCATTTTTGGATAATCTTCAGTAGAATCTTGCTTGCATGTGAAATCAATGATATTGTTCTGTAGTTTCCCACGCTCTGTTGGTCACCCTTCTTTGGAATGGGAACAAATATAGATCTCTTCCAGTCAGTTGGCCAAGTGGTTGTTCTTCAGATTTTTTGGCACAACTTGGTGAGCACATCCAGGGCAGCATCTGTTAGATGAAATATGTCAATTGGTATACCATCTATTCCTGGGGACTTATTTTTTGCTATTTTCTTCAAAGCAGCTTGAACGTCTTCCTTCATCACCATAGGCTCTTGCTCAAATGTTATTTCATTAAATTCTTCTGTATCTTCCAATTCCTTTCGATACAATGACTCAGTATATTCCTTCCATCTTCTTTTAATACTTCCTGGATCATTTACTATTCTGCCTAAAGCATCCTTGATTATAGCAACTCTAGGTTTGAATTTGTTTATAGCAACTCTATTATATAGCAAGTCTAGGTTTGAATTTGTACAAGGAAGAATTCAAGATACTAAAGAGCTAAACAGAAGATTCCAAAAGGCAGCACGGAATGACAGAACAAAATATTACAATGAAATGTGTGAGGAGCTAGAGTTGGAAAATCAAAAGGGCTGAACTCGTTCATCATTTCTTAAAGCTCAAGGAACTGAAGAACAAATTCAAACCTAGAGTTGCTATAAGCCTTACTAGGATCCTACTGGATGGCAAAATTGACCAATTTTCACATTAACATTCTTACATATTTATCTTAAAGTTCAGTCACGATGAAAGTCACAAAACCCTATGAATAAACTATCCCAGTTTATTGAATTATGCTGTCTTCTCCTGCGGCCAACAATTATGTTCTAGATACATTCTTTGATTCCAAAGTGGTCTGGTTGTTAAGGAGTCGTACTGGCAAGCCAAAGGTACACAGTTTGAATCCAGCAGCTACTCTGTGGGATGGGTAGTCATCCCCCTGTACAATTTACAGCTTCTGAAAACCCGCTTGCAGAGTCAACTGTGAGATGGTTCTGACTTAACTACATGTAACAACAACTATTATGCTTAGATTGGCTTCAGAGTCAGAGACAAGGAATAACAGAACCCCCCAGCATTCCAGCTTGTGGAACTCTGCAGGCTAAAGTATGGGAAACAAAATTTCATACCAAATATTATATGAAAAGCCATATGCTTATTCAGGAATTGAAGGAATCACAAAATTGCAAATTGGAATTTCTCTTGTGACAAATCTCAGGAAATGAGCTGTTTTCAGCAGACAAGATACAATTAGGGTCCCCCTGCAGAGGGAGAGTTAATATGTGAAATCCTTCCTGAACCAAACATCATGTTGACAATTGAGAAAAAGTCGGCTTCATTTACAAGAGAATTCGCTTTATGATTTGCTTCCCCTGATTCTCAATAAATACACAGAGAGGTGTGGCTTGTGGTGCTTCAGTTGATTCGAACTGCTGGCCCCTGTAATTATTAATATACTTTACCCTCGGCCTGCTAGGTTATCACTGAGGATTTCTTCAGATTTCCTTCCAGTTCCAGCTTACTGGCAACAATACTTTTATCTGTTCATAATTGTTCATTACTTACCAAGATAAAGTGTAAGTTCATTGGCAGAGTCTAGATGGCCTTCCTAACCCAGCCACT